TACGATTCCCTGTTTTAAGAAAGTGAGCCGGCAAGAAGGCTGGTGCCCCAGAAAATGGCATTTTCCGAAGTTTTTCAGGAACGGCTCCACCTCGCTCCCTGTTATTGTGAATTCCAAGCCAGCCCAGCAGTTACTGTGAAGGACTCCTTTAACCTGAGGGCAGGTGTTGTCCCAGAGATGGCCAATATTTGTTTTATTAATCTTTTCAATTTTTAATTAGGTTGCTCAATGTTCCAGAAGTTAACAGCTATCTGGCCAGACAGGTAATGGCTTGTGACATCAGAAGGACTCTCCAGTCCGCAGCCCTGGGATCCCCACCCCCTGCCCGTCGGGTCACTTAGGGTCCCGGCTGCTAACTCTCCTCGATCTCTCCTTAGCAAAATGTCTTCCTCCAGGGCCCTGGGCCGCCACACAAATTATTTAGTCAAACAGCTGCAGAGAATGTGCTTCGGTATCTCAGTATTATCATATCACAGATCCATGGGCTCGAGCTAGGAGTTTTCATTAGATCCCCTCAAATATAAAAAATACATGAAAAACAACTCTCGAGTACTGTTTTCCTGAAAAAGCCGGTCGCCCTGTCTCTCCCGCGTAACGAGAAGACTTTTTCCTTCAATGTGTTAACAAGCCACAAAGTGTGGTTCTGTCTCCGTCCTGGAAATGTACCGTCATTTGCATAACAAGCCACCCAGGATTGTGGCATCTGTGTACTAGCTGCATATTGCTGCTTGCAAGAACCGATCCCCACAGAGAAAATGCCTGCGGACAGTGCTCTTTCTCCATAATAAATTTAATTTTTCATCAACTGGTAATTTCTCTCTTAGTCTGACATGAAAAATAAATCTCACGGAGTGTGGACAAAAAAAAAAAAAAACAACAAGTTTTGACTCACTAAGTGGCAGGTCAGTTACTGCAAAAGAGCAAAGTAACCATCTGAGGTGAAAACGGTTCTCAGTTCTCTCCGGAATACACTTTTTGCTGTACCTTCACCACCGAAACCCAGGAAAGTGGGGTGGGAAGGACCAAGTTATCCCTTTGGCCTAGAAAAGTCAGCTGTGGCGTGCTCTCTAATTCAGAATCCTTTTCTTTCTTTTCTTAACGTTTATTTATTTTGAGAGAGAGAATGCATGAGCCGAGGAGGGAGGGGCAGAGAGAGAGGGAGACAGAATCCCAAGCGGGCTCCACGCTGTCTGCACAGAGCCTGACACGGGGCTTGACCTCACGAACCGTGAGATCGAGGCCCGAGCCGAAATCAAGAGTGTGACGCTTAACCGACTCAGCCACCCAGATGCCCCCCCTGTTCTTTCCTTAGTCACCTGAGTGTCAGGTTGAGTGAGATAAGCTTTTCTTCTGGTTCTTTGCATGAGTGTTTCAAGTTAAAGGCCTCCATGCCTGCAATGAAGCACCACCATTTGCCCCTTTCAGACCATCTTACAGCTGGGATGAACGCGAGAAGCCCGATGAGCTATCGCCTCATTTAAAACACGAGGGTGAGAAGCCAGCTCAGAGACTTTGGCATAGGTGGTGGACAGATGGCCCAGGGAGATGAAGAGGTGAATGGGCAGGTGGACAGCAGAACAGGATGAGGTACCAGGAGCCCCTCGTTCTCCTCCTGCCTTATTACCAACTACTTTTTCTCAACCAAGGCAAATCATTTCATTTCTCTGGGACTTTCCCTTCTCTCTGAGGCCACGAGGCCCGGAGGCTCTCTCCTCAGCTCCCCCGCTCTTTGATGCCATGAAACGATAGAACTTTTCAAAACGATTGTACTTGTCAATGCCAGGGCCACTTTGCCATAACTACATACTGGAATATCATTCAGCCTTAATAAGGAAGGAAATGCTGCCATTTGCAACAACATGGATGAACACTGAGGATATCATGCTACGGGAAATAAGTCAGACAGAGAAAGACAAATACGGGATGATCTCACATGTAAAATCCAAAAAAAAAAAAAAAAGAGAGAGAGAAGAACTCATGGAAACAGAGAGCCGATCAGTGGGGGCAGGGGCAGGGGCAGGGGATGGGGGTAGAATGAGTGCAGGGAAGTAGGCAAAGATGGTGAAGGGGTACAAGCTTCCGGTTGTAAGATGAACGGGTCCTGTGGATGTAACGTATAGCATGACGACTATGGTTGACAATACTGTGTCGTATAGTTGAAAGTTGCCAGGCCAACAGATCGTAAAAGTTCTCAGCATGCACACACGCACGCACACACTATTTGAGTGGATGGATCTGTTAACTCATCTTGCCGTGGTAATCGTTTTGCAATATACACGTACATCGAATCATCATGTTGCAAACCTGAAACTTACACAATGCTATAGGTCAATGGCATCTCAATAAAGCTGGGGGAAAAAAAAAAAACCCAACTCTGTTCACTTTCTCGTTAAAAACAAAACGGCTGCGAGCAGAACTTCATCAAAAAGTAGTTCCCACCTTGAATCGAGATGTTCACATAACGAGGAAAACAGCATACTAATATTAGCAGTGAGGGGCCCCACCCTTGCTTCCTGGGTGAATAGAAAAGTCAGCATTACTCAAGCCCCTCTGGGAGTCTGTGTGCATTTAATTCTCCTTCTAGAAGACCTTTGTGAGATGCGAGACTGTCTACTTGGGACTGTAACACCTCTCTATAGCACGCTTAGCACCTCCCATTTAATTTTTCCTAAGACCCCAAATTCCATTTGGCAGGAGAGACACCATAAAAATGGATGCCTCTGGAGCAAATCCCTTCTGTCTGTTCAGAGAGCCCTTCTCAATCGTGACCGCTTTCTGGAGTTATAAAACAGCAGGGGAGTCAACTGTATACACAGGCAGGCCCTTACAATACCATATTTTCCCCTCCGGCTGCCAATTCTTAACAGTCAGAGCGACCAGCATTTGTTTTTCTCAAGTTCAGCCACCTGGATGCTTCTTTGAATGTTACAGGAAATACAAGCAGTGGGGCAAAAACCTGCCCTTTTTTTCTGCATGAGAGAATAACAGAGGTAGAGGTATATCAAGGGGTCACCTGGTTATAAAGCTTCTTCCTCCAGGCAGGTCCGCGTTTGAACGGTCTGAGTCGAAACTACTGTTTCTATTTTTAAAGACAGAGATTCTACAACCACCGAGTGAGCCTCTCTCACGACTTCGCGACCCCCAGAGTCATTTTCCTGACACCTCACAGCCGCCTGCAGGCCCCCTGCCCCCCAACCCTGGGCTTTGCTCGACTCTAAGCCTGCTTCCTCTTTGGTCCTCTACAGAGAGCCAAGGCGCCTGCTGGGTGTTTCTGTTCCGTTATTAATATGACAGGGTCACTATGAGTCTTCAGTTTGCCACGCCTACTTTGGAAACCTACAAAGCTGGGTTTGGCTGTCACTGTGTGGTCCTGTGCCTGTGGCCTGGCTGTTCAAACACAGACTGGAATCAGGGGGATGCCACCAAAGTCCCAGAGTTTCCTGAGTCTGGGCATGACCCGACAGATGGTCTCCGTGACTTCAAGAGAAAAAGCGGAGAGGCGGTAACCGAGGTCAGAGATAAAGAGGGAGTCACACGGAGCAGGCGGGCTGCACCCAGGCGCTCCTCGTGAATGGAATGCCACATCCTGGGGGGCTCTTCCTGGCGGGTGTGGTTTCCCCGTGGGGGTTCTTCCCTCTCTGGGGCACTGAGAAAGCTGAGGCAGCACATGGGATGGTTCTATGGGATCAAGACACTATGAGGCACGACGTGGGGTGAGCACGGGGTGACCCGTAGAGTCACGCCTGGGGGCGGCCTTACAGCCCCATGAGCACCCCCACCACGAGAAAGGCCCCTGGCGGACAGCCCCGCCGAACGGCAAGCCGCAGAGGCGGGCAGGGAGCCCCTCCTGCGGATGGACAACGTCTCCCAAGTCCATCCTCTGTGCCAGGCACAAAGCGTTGTCTCTTCCTGTCTCATAAAAGCGGCCCTCGCTATTATCTCCATTTTGCAGATGAGGAAACTGAGGTCCGGGGAGGTTCCGTAACTTGCTGAAGGCTTAAGCGCGTGAACCAGAACTCCACTTGTCTCCCCCCACCCCCAACACCCCCAGAGCCCAAATTCTTAACCAGTCCGTTTTACGACCTCGCCTCCCCGCGTCTCAACCTCCGGGCGTAAGCCCTGTTTGGGAATCTCTCCCACCAGAAGAGACAATAATCATTTTCCACCCCGGGGACCTGATACGGTTTGGAGGCATGCGGATGATGGGTAGAGCCCAGCCTCCGGCCCGGGGAAGGGTGTGGTTCTGGAAAAGAGTGTTACTCTTGTGTTTACTCAAAGATAGTCATTAAGTCACCGTGAAAACATCTTCCTGCAGACTAAACAACCCCACCGCTTTTTAAAACAGCTTTCCTCACAGGAGCTATTTCTTTTTCTTTCTTTCTTTTTTTTTTTTTTTTGGTACCGTCTTTCTATAGTTACTGGTTTTCCCCCAGGAATTCTTCTGCCCTCCCATTCTCTATTTTAATCAATCCTGTAATAAGATTCTGATCTATGCCACGGAAAAGACATGGTCATTTTCATAGTTTTCATCTCTGGCCTTAACAAATGAATAAAAGGCCAGCATGGATAGTAATCACTACCTGTGGTCCACTCTGACCCTCAGGCATTTTTTTTGGGGGGGGAGGGGCCACCCCTGCGGCTGGCCATTCTTCCATTTACTGTTCGTTTCTGATACTGTTGAACTTCACCGTGTATTTGAGGGACTAGTCCTTAGTTTCATGCAGCCCCGACATGCTTCCAACACACATTTGACTCAGGCTGATTTGCTTCTGCCTTCTAAGAGAATGCTTTAAAAGGAGCCCAGTGCTCAGAGACAAACTTTGACGACTGTCAACGATAAAATTCTCTCTCCCTGCAGGAGCCTCCTATCCCTCTCTGACACAAGTTTTAGCCGCATTTGAGCAACGTCAGTCAAACCCAAGGATTCTGAGATACCGTCCCTGGTGCCTCAGTGTCCCAGCCCAGAGGTTTGCCAGCCCCGAGGGGGGGGGCCCACTTACTTCGAGGTTCCCGGGGTCCATCCACTGTGATTTTGATGGCTCTGTGGTACGTGGCAACTTGTGGTGGGTTCGTGAAGACCGTGATTGTCAAAGTGAAGCTTTTCCCTGTTGGAACACAAAAGAGAACACACAAAACAATGAGGTGATGGCCTGGATATATCCGCTGGGTAGTTGACCATTAATGTATGCTTTCCAGCCATCAAACTGGAAAGGTGGCACTTCTTGGGCACAAGTTGGTGGTTTTTCCAACACTCCCTTGCGTTTGGCTTTGCTTAAATTCCAGAATGCACACCTTTGGTATTTGTGTAAGATGTTAACACTTCGCATAGTTACACGGCTTCCGTTTAATCATCAATAAAACAACACAGGATCAAGAGAGATTCAGCTTTGTTTTCTTTCAAGCCAAGACTCCAGGGAACATGGGATCGGATTGGCTGCTATCCACTCCCCCAGAGCTGGTCCCCAAGGAGTGAAAGAAACTGTATCCATCTTTCCTTTTTTTTTTTTTTTTTCCAATATATGAAGTTTATTGTCAAATTGGTTTCCATACAACACCCAGGGCTTCATCTTTTCCTTGTAACATTGCTTGCCCCTTCAAGGATTGGGAAAGACGGAGTACCTGAGTTTGGGAATAGGCTAAATTCAAATTATTCTCTCTGTATTTCAAAGACACTAATTGCTGGTGGACTTTAAATATTATTATTATTTAAAAAATTTTCTTAACGTTTATTCTTTTTTTTTTTTTGAGTGAGAGAGAGAGAGAGAGAGAGAGAGAGAGAGACAGACAGACAGAGTGTGAGCAGGGGAGGGGCAGAGAGAGAGGGACACACAGAGTCCGAAGCAGGCTCCAGGCCCTGAGCTGTCAGCACAGAGCCCGACACGGGGCTCGAACTCACAAACCGTGAGATCGTGACCTGAGCCGAAGTCGGACGCTTAACTGACTGAGCCACCAGGCACCCCTAAATATTATTTTTAAATGCTAGATGCCATTTGGGTACTCATGGGATTGGCCAGACAAAATTTACAGTCAACAAACTGACTTCACAATATGTAACTGACAGACTGAGGTTCAATAAGGACTAGAGACATGTACACGCACGGGGATCTCCACCCAAACACTTCACATACATGCATGGGACTCAAGCACCTTTTTATAACATATGTCTACCGCCATGGTTTTAGTAACTTTTAAAAACTGTTTTAAAATATATATATAACTCAGAATACAGTGACTAACATATAAATACATAAATAACTAACAGAACAGAAATATACCGACAATTAATATTAATAATATAAGTATTAATATGCACATATATTGATCATTGAAAACATTTTTTGGCTAGGTGGTTCAAAGGACGAACTCTTGGTTTGAACTTGGGCTAGCTGACCTTTGGCAGGGCCCCAGACCCCCCTGTGCCTCAGTGCCCTTACCTGGAAAATGGGTACATATAACATTTTCTACCTTATAGGGTTTGGAGGAGGTTAAATGAGTTCATAGGAGTAAAATCATTAAAAAGGTATCTGGAGCATGATATTTGAAGGTGTGCGCATGTGTGTGTGTGTGTGTGTGTGTGTGTGTGTGTGTGTGCGTGTGTGTGTGCGTGTGTGTGTGTTGTGCTGGCTTTTATTATTTTCCTTTTCTGTTTCTCAGAGTTCCCCAACAGGATCCTAAGGTTTGACTAAGCATGATATTTGGACCACCCACATCACTGCAGTGGGTCTCTATTTAACAGTTTCTCCTCTTAGTCATGTATCATGAAATGAAACCTAGAAGAAATGAAAGGCCCACCCATCCCCCTATCTGTTCCCAACCCACGTTAAGACTCAAATTGTCTTCCTCCCCCAAGTTAGAAAGAACAGAGTATCTTCAACTGTCATGCACGTTTTCACACCAAGGAAAGCTACAAAAAAGCTCAATAAAAACACAGGTGACCCTTGAACAACACAGGTGTTAGGGGCAGCGACCCCTGCCCTGTTGAAAATCCATGTATAACCTTTGACTCCCCAAAAACTACCGATAGCCTACTGCCTATCTGAAGACTCACCGATAACGTAAACAGTCGATTAACACGAATTTTGTATTTCAGGTATACTACACACTGTGTTCTTATCATAAAGGAAGCTAGAGAAAAGGAAATATTCTTCTTCTTCTTCTTATTAATGTTTATTTATTTTTGAGAGGGAGAGAGAACACAGGGGACCGGGGAGGGGCAGAGAGAGGGGGGAACAGAGGATCTGAAGCGGGCTCCGTGCTGACAGCAGAGAGCTTGATGTGGGGCTTGAACCCACGAACCGTGAGATCATGACCTGAGCGGAAGTCAGACGCTTAACCGACTAGGCCACCCCCGTGCCCCGAAAAGAAAATATTATTAAGAAAATCGTAAGGAAGAGAAAATATGTTTACAGTCCTGTACTGTATTTATCAAAAAAAATCTGCATGTACATGAGCCTGCATGGTTCAACCCATGTTGTCCAAGGGTCTACTGCGTAATCTTTGGCCACAGCAAGCTAGTGATTCCTAATCATGAAAAGTCCCCAGTGAACAATCCCCAAGGATCTGCATTCTGCCTACAGTGAAGCCTTCGATAAGAGGAACAATGACAAGTAACCACTGGATGCTGAAACCGGCTTCGTCCGGCCTGGCTTTGCAACCACAGTCATGGCTGACAGTCCAGGCTGCTCTCTAGGGCGGGGTGCTGAGGGGCCTAGGGCACTGGAGGAGCCCAGGAGGCCCGGCCCACAAATTTATCTTCCCATCAGCTGCTCTTCTCTCCTGGAACCCAGAGAGGATCCCTTTTGGGCTTTAGGGATTTGCCATCTCTAGGACATCGTTCAGATATGGCCAGGCGATACCCCAGATCACTTCTCCCCTTGGCATCTCGCTGAGGTAGGGGCGCGTGCAGGAGGGGCTGCTGGTCAGGCCTGGCGAGGAGGGCACGGCGATGTGGAGGCAGCACCCTGTTCAACTGCCCATCTTGGTCAAGGGAGCAAAGGCAACTATGGCCCAGGTGGCCCGTCCACGTGGTCCTCTGGGCCCTACGGCCATCCACCTTTTGTCAAGAACCTACAAGGTGGGAAGGCGCCTGGGTGGCTCAATCGGTTAAGCGCCGGACTTCAGTTCAGGTCTTGATCTCCTGGTTCGTGGGTTCGGGCCCTGCGTCGGGCTCTGTGCTGACAGCTCAGAGCCTGGAGCCTGCTTCAAGTTCTGTGTCCCCTCTCTCTCTGCCCCTCCCCTGCTCATACTCTGTCTCTCTCAAAAATAAATAAACATTACGAAAAAAAAAGACCCTACAAGAGGTATGGACCGTATTAAGACTGGATCCCACACCAGCTATTAGGACCTTCTCCCCGATGAGCCCCCACCCCGCGTTATTTCTTGCTCACTCTTCTCTCCCCCAACTGGACTCATGGCCACGGGATTTCCACTCTAGGGTCTGTCTTCCTCCAGCCCCCTGGCCAGCCTGTCAAGGCTTCCTTGCTTTGCCCCTCCCCGCCACCCCCCCCTCCCCCCACCACCCGCTGCTATGTTCCTGGCTTCAAAGTCGGGCTCGTGTTTCAGGCAACCTCCCCACATCTGCCTCCAAAAGCGGTCTTCGACTTTGATGGGGACTGAACGGGTTTGTGGCTGTAAAAGCCCAAGGAGAGGGATGGTGGTCCAAGACCACCATGCCTTTCTCAGAGGAAGGTGGCAAAGGATGAGGTGGCAGCAGGTGGCTTCAGGGTAGAGGGGGACTGAAATGGATTAAAAACAAAAAAAAAGACCTTGAGGACACAAGCAGTGAGTAATGACGTGGCCCCAGGGACCCAGCAGGTCTGGGCGCATGAGGGGCCGGGCTGCTCTTCCTTCCAGAGGCTTAGATACGAGTTCATGTAACAAACGATGTGACCTCTCTGGATCTCAGTCTCCTGAGCTGCAAAACAGGGAGCCCGGGGGGCGTGGGATACCCACAAGGTCACTTTCAACTCACGGTATCTTCTGAGGACGCAGCCCGCCCGGCGCCCATGTTCACGTGCATGTATGTGCCTACATGTAGCTGTGCCCCCGTGCGCCTCCCCCATCGCCTGTAGCGTCAGCATTTCAGAGTCCGTGAAAATACTGTATTACTTTTCTAGAGCTGCTGTAACAAATTTCCACAAACCGACGGTTGTGGGGGGGGGGGAGGCTTAAAACAACTGAAATTTATTGTCTCATAGTGCTAGAGGCCAGAAATCCAATTATCAAGGTGTCGGCAGGGCCGTGCTCTCTCTGAAGGCTCTGGGGTAGAATCCTTCCTTCCTTGTCCCTGCTTCTGGTGCTCGCAGGCAAGCCTGGGCTTTCCTTGGTGTCCAAGTTCATCATTCAGCTTCTGCCTCTGCTGTCACATGGACTTTGTTCCCCTGTGTGGCTTCTGTCTCCAAATGCACTTCTCCTTAGAAGGACACCAGTCATTGGAGTTAGGGCCCACCCTCGCCCGAGACGTCCTCACCTTACTTGATTACATCTGCAAAACCCCTATATCTAAGTAAGGTTGCCCTCTGAGGTTCCCCGTGAACATGAGTTTTTAGGGAACATTATACAAGCTAGTTCAAACACCGAATGTCGTCAGAGTTCCGGTCTTGACATTATGACTAACAAGTTCTCTACAGGCACCTGTATATTTTACCCTCTGAAATGGTCCCACTCCCTTGGTAGCCCTAGTGAAGCATCCTATCCCTTTTTTTAAACGTTTATTCATTTTGGAGGGCGGGAGGGGGGGAACGCACGTGCCTACGAGTGGGGGAGGGGTAGAGAGAGAGGGAGAATCCCAAGCAGGCTCCGCACTGTCAGCGCAGAGTCTGACGTGGGGCTTGATGTCACGAACGGTGAGATCACCACCTGAGCCGAAATCAAGAAGTTGGACGCTCAACCGGCTTAGCCACCCAGGTGCCCCATACGATCATCCTAATCTTGATTTCCTAAATGACGACAAAGAATTAGTTTTTAGAATATTGGCATTTTCAGATTTGTGTAGAACTTGCAACCTTTCACGCATTTTCCTCTACACTATTGCATTGGGTCCTCGGAATGGTCTCATGAAGTAAACAAGAGAGATTTTATTGTCCCTCGTCAACAGGTAGCAGAG